GCTATAATATTATAATATTATACAGAGCGAAAGAAAAAGAAATATTAGTGCCTTCTTCAATTATCTGACAAATATTTCAAAGTTTAATTTGCGACCATTCCTGAGTTTACCTGAAGGAAAATCTAAGAGCTGGAGCCATCTCATTGTGTAACTAACAAAATGACAAAAAATTCAATCTCTTTTGATCTCTTTTAATAAAAACATAAAACAGGTGACCGTTAGGCCTTCAAAAATACCTAATCTGGTCGCCTAATAAATGCTTGACTTTTTTGAAATCTTTTTAGTCTAGACATCATTACAATATATATCATACTTCGCTTTCACCGCAGTTGATATGATTATTGCTATTTTTAGCAGCAGTGATATTACGGCCGTTTTGCCTTTCTATTTTCAATACAGTTTATCTTGCACTAATAAAAAATTAAGAAATATTTTATTGCAAAAAAATCGCATTTTACTTTATGTCAACGAATAGTTTTTGCAACAATCGAATATTTGATAGCCAAATGGAAGAATAATTTTTTGAATTTTTCCGAGGATAAAAGATTTCAAACGAAAAAAAATCCTCAAAAATTTTTTTTTAAAAAGTTGCAATAACAAACCTGCTAAGTGCTCGAATCCTTGCGCAAACAGCCGATGTAAAAGGACGCGTTTCTGGTATGGAACGGATAAAAGCAAGATGCGGTTGTACTGCAGCTGGGAAACATTCTGCCACACCTGTAATTAGAAAATTCGGAAATCAAATTTCCTTAGTAGTAAAATTAACTATCGTAAAATGGAATTTACAATAACAAGAAATGGAACAAAATTCATATCCGCTCATGTTACATGAATTATTTTATGAAAGAAAATAGGACAAGGAACGATAAGAAAGTTGGAAGAGAATAGAAAGTTATTTTTTCCATATAACTTTTCAACTTCTCCAACATTTCATTTTAATACTCACATTAAAATATACCGACGTTCCATCATAGAAGGCATATCAGAAATATCAATATGCGAAAATAAAGAGTATGAGAATTTCAATAGTTTACCTAACATGCAAAAACGTATTAAACAACCGGTTTCATACATTTCAAATAACAAACAAGTGCAAAGTTATTAGTCTTAATTATATGATACAAAAGGAGCAAAGGTACTACAATAACAATATCTCAAAGTACTTCAACAATTACATTGTCTTTTAGCTTATTTTGCTCTACGATTGAAAAAAATAACAAAATGTTGCTTAATTAATGAAAGCATTAATGGTACTTTCAATTTCCTTCAGTATTGTAGGAAGGGAACCGGAAAGTCGACAACTCATTGCTATCAGATCATCTACAGCAATATTTGCTGTATTGCTATCATTCCTTCCAATAACACCAATTATTTTAGCCATCGTTGTCAGAGTATTATCCGAATCTGCCGCTCTATAAAATCCACCTTCTATTCTTCAATTCTATGTAGCAGTAAAATTAAATTAATAATTTTAAAAAAGAATAGTAGAAGTAGATGAAGATGATAACATACTTCCCTATCAAATCATTCATAGGAATATTAATTAGTAAATAAGTAGGTAATTGGGGTGGGAAAAAATGAACTGAACTAACTTAGCAGCTCGACGTAGTGCATCCAGATGTGGAACCAGAGCAAATGTTCGATTCAGTGAGATAAGTGAGAGGAAAATGTGAAGGACAGCGGTGCGAGTAGGTGGGTGAAAAAGAAAAATGTCGAGATCATCCAGATGTTTGAGAATTAGCTAAAATTATTTTATTTCTAAATTTTTTTTCAAATATTTAAAAAATAATCAAGAAAAAAAAATATATATACAGTAAAATCATAAGCATGAAATTATCATTTTTATCAATTTGCAGTGAGCAATATTGTTAGAAGATTGTGCATAATTATTTTTGACATTAGTTTATTATTATTATTATTGTTGTTGTTTTGCTGTTGCTATTTTAATTAGTATCCCAAATTTTGTATTAATTTTAAAATGAAATTGTAGTTATTAGCAAAAAGAAAAGAAAAAATACATTGCAATAAATGTTGCTCAATGTAGAAGTGCAATATAGTATGAAATTGCTCAATTATTTATTAAAAAGTATGTAAATGTTACACTTGAATTAAATTGATTACAAATGCTTGTGAAGATGGAAAAAAAAACGAAGTAAAACTTGTTTGTTATGATTAAATAAGTGATTCGACTTGCACAGGTTCCACTCCTTCAACAATGATCACTTGGCACAGTATCCCGTTCAGATGTTTTACAATAAAATGTAAATTAGGAGGTTCACTATTTAAGGCTACTAAATGACGGTAAAGTAGATGTATTTGCACACTAATTAACTATCGCATTACTTCAGGCTATCTAGAAGCTTATCCTTCCACATTCAAAAAATTTCAACTTTTACTTTAATTTAAAAATTCAATGCACCATATCGATCATGATATTCCATGGATTCACTTCAATTATTCATCACTTATGTCATAACTACAATAACTACAATCTCCATCTTTCCCGAGACCACTCTAGCATAAAGTCAGTCAGTGAGATTAATAATCAAGTTGTACCATAAAATCTTTGAGAAGAAAGTAAGTTATCATTTGATTCGGATAGTTCAACTTAATCCGTTAACAGAGGCAATCAATATAATAATAATCTGCATGGTGCTTACAAAGTAATTTTTCAGTAATTTGCGACAGTATTTATATACTTTAATTCTTTTTCCAAATAGAATAGTTAGATTTCCCGAGAAATCACTTTTTTTCAGGGATTTTAAAGAAATTAAGTTGGGCATTTTAACAACTTACATCAGGGTTAGCATTAGCAACCATAGATGTAAACTGTAAAATGGAAAGGCGTTCCGATTGATCCGTCTGTTCATTTTGAAGTAATTTGAGAATCTGCGGAAAATGAGCATGAAATGGTTCACGGTTCTCCGGATAAAGCTGTGGAATTACTCTCACCAATGAGAAATTGCCTAAATATTTCATATTGATAACAAAATTTAGGATGAAGAAAAGAAATACTAATCGCCTTCTATGAAACTCAAAAATATTTCAAATACAAAGGAGAAAAATATTTCAATCTTTAACAGATGGATCTTAAATTACACACTTTTTTCAATTATTTTTGTTAAATTTACTAAAAAAAAGTTTCGAAGAATAAAGAAGTGCTTTAAAGCCATTGATGTTCGATATAATGGAAAATATTTAAGGAAATTAACATTTTTTTTACATGAAATTACCATTTTTTTTTCATATGAAATTACATTTTTTTTCTTTTGAACAAAAATTATTAAAATTAGAAATAGTTTTTTTCTGCATCTTATATTTATCACTTACAAACGGAAAGGAGTGCTGAAAACTGTGGTCTTTTTCAATAATTAAATTCAATGATTAATGGTTCCACTTTTTTCAATATATTCTAATATTTTGCTACGAGTTATTATTATTCATCTAAAATCTAATATTCATCATACAGAGCGCTGATAACAATCGAATTCATCCATCTATTTCATTCATAGACATCTGTTAAAATATTTTTTCTTCGATCATTTCTCTTTGCTACCAAAGTTTTAAACAAACTTTTGAACAAACCATTAAGTATATTAGTGATAATTTGTAGAGAGTATTGTGCAAGAAGACGACCATTATGTATAGCTGCTAATGACAAATAGCCGGTGGTATTTCGAGTTAACTCATCACTTCCACAACTTAGCGCCCGTATTGCTGTCGGTACTGTTACTGTCATCACCGATTTTTTACTGTAATGCTGAAATATTAATTATGTCAGCTTTTATATGAATTTTTATAAATTTTAAAAATTATCACAAACTTTATCGAAAATTATGGTAATGATTTAGTTGAATAGTGGAATGTAAGAAATGTAGGAGAAAGATAGAAGTAAATTCATTTATAAAAGCATCTATGAATAGCCATGAAAGATAGAATAAAATGATGACAAAGAAGACATTTAAAGCAATGAAAATATTTCATAGCATATAAATCTTGACAATAAAAGCTTTTTAAGGATAATCTAAGTTTCGAAATAAAATAGTTAGTAAAAAATTGGAAAAAGTTAAGGATAAACAACAACAAACTTACAAGAAAAAGACTGTTGAGAAGTTCGCAGGCAATTTTACAATGCGGTGTATCCATAACAACACAACTTAAATTAGCAGCAGTAGTCATTTCATGGTTCAAACAGCTACCGAGTGTGTCCACTAGTGCTGGTGCATAAGTTTCGATACTGTTCATTTCACTGCAATTCATTCAATATTGAGAAAACAATGTAATGCAAATTTTTTTCCAGCAAATTTAGCAAATCCATAATGTGCGCGCAGTAAAAATGAATTTCTTTCTTTTTTGCAGAATTCGTCAAACTAATTTGCTATATTTATGTCCATTGAAGTTATGTTATTTTATGTACAATTAAATGTCATCGAACTTTGTGCCACTTTTTTATATTTCTTCTAAGGCTTAGTAATTTTGCAAGTTCCAAAATTTTTAGCGCATATTGCATTATAAATTTGATGCAAAATGATATTTAATATTTCAAAATATATATTAAATTACTGAGAAATAAAAAGTAAAAAAGAAGCAAAATTATATTTATGAATAGAATAAAAGAAATAGCCAACCGAATTGCAGCAGTAATACGAGCCAAGACAATCTCAACCACACTTTGATCATTTGCGTTACGACAGTAATCAGGTGCATTAAAGATTGATTTGATTTTTGCCAAAGTTCGATGCTGAAATTAAAAATCATACAAATTACATTCTCATATACTAATTTTACGAATTTTGACAAATTATTTAAAAAAAAGATGACCAATGTAATGAAATTATAAGTGAGTAAAAAATTGAAAAATAACTTTAAATAACTAAAAATGTAAATAACTGTAAAGAAAGCATTGTCTTGATAAAATTCAAATAGCTCACTATCTATACTTTTGATGCAAAATGTCATAGTTAATCATCAAAAAAAAGTTATAGGTAATAATGATGTACATTATAACAATTTAAATAGGAATAATAAACTTTTGTAACATATAAACTTTTTCAAATTTCAAATCATAATTGTGTATACATTTGGCAAACATCAATTAAGATAATTAATACTATCAAAAATTGGTTCATTTTACACATTCTTATTCCAATATAGCTATATGCATTAATATTCATTTAGATCTATAATTTATGAAAATTTAAAAGATTAATATACCAAATCGGTGATGACGTCATAATCGGATATTGTAAACAGTTGTCCGGCATGTGAAAGCTGCCGATGTTCCAGAATTCGCACCAATAATGTGTGCATTATTATTTCTGATAGACAGATCGGATGGAATTATTAGACAGAAAAAATGAAAATGTTAAAGTTGAAAGAGAAAAGCAAATTATTCTTCAAAGCTAAATGATTAGCAGCGGAAATGTTTGTCATCATTAGTATTATCTTGCCACTCTCATCAAATGGAAATCCAAAGACAATATGCTAATTTCTGCTTTAACCAATCTGCAAAAAAAAGAAAGCAAACATATTGCAAACGATATAGAAAATTAAATACCGATGCATTTTAAGTTGTTATTGTGACGATACTATCAGAAAATTTTATTGCAATTTGAATTATCATATCATATGATACTTATATCAGTAATAATACTGATATTGTAACCTTTAGCAAAATGATTCATTTTGCCAAAAGTTATATATATATATCATTCTCTGCTAAAAGTTACCTCAAACTGATTCAATCTTATCGCAGCTGATTCAATTCTTTTAGAACAAAAAAAAAATTTCTAACTAATATATCAAACAACTGTTCCAATCAAACAAATTGACATTTGACGAAATAACAAATGGAACAAATCACAAAAAAAATTTGAAGAAATTACGTAATTCAAAAAAAAAAATGGAAAGATTTTTTTTAATGAACAAAAATAATGTTAACCAAAAATTATGAAAAAAAGTCATTCGCATATCGGTGGTTGAATTAAGGAAGTGATATTTTCACAGAGAGTAAAATAAAAAGGAAGGATATGAAAGAGAGAAAGTTTGCTTCCGTACAATGCGCATATATTATGGGTTGAGCAATTGCGCGCACTTTTTTTCCTTCCGCAAAAGTTCACATATTACGCAAAATTTACCGTATACAAAATAGCCATCAATCATTTATTCGTACCATTTTACCTTTTATGATACAAATTGAAAGTTAAGGACGACGAAGAAAAAAAAAAAGATAACGATAGTGAACTTCTTAATTGAATGATGACTCATTTCGCGAGAATTTTAGTCGCATTCAGAATAAAATTTATTTAAATAAATAATGATAGTATGAAAATTTTTTGAAGAGATTGGAAATTGTAAAATGACAGATTAATAATTATAGATAAATGAAAAGCATGCAAATTTATTTGAAAAGATTTATAAACGAGAGAGAATTTTCAAGAGCAAAAAAAAAATTAAATATATACGTTGAATGACGTTGATTGTTGAATAATTTTGACCTCTACTACTATTTTTCAGGAATGTTTTCTTTTTTTTCGCCTCGAAGCAGTGACCTCTTGTATTGCAACACGAAATGCAGCAACAACGGTAACAAACAACAATATGACGTTAGGATGAAAATGATGCGACATTCCCGATGTAATCTAATCCATCCAATTCACACACCAATTTTTAATGTCTCCTTCATTTCACTCATCTTGCTGTCACTCATCCTCCTTTTCAAACGAACTGTTCAAATGCCAAATAAAAAAAAAAATCTAGAAATAACTGTTAGCTTACACTTGAAATATTTGAACGATTTCTATTTTACATTTGATATACAACCAAATTTCGATCATCGATATTTCAAATTTTCCATATCCTTAGCTCATACTTCATTGTATCAATTGCACCTGAATTTGACTAATCAATTATATCTTTCCGATATAAGTGAAAATTTTTAAAACAAAAAAAAAATTCTCCGCGAATGAAAGCAACTAATAGCATTCTAATACCGGGTAGTAGCTATTATAGGAAGAAATTTGTGTACAAATCTAAAATCTATAAAATATTCAGGAAAAAAAAGCTGCAAAACCTCAATTATTCAAATTAGGCATAAATTCATTGATTTTTTATGGATAAAAAAAAAGCTCTTCGGTGAGATAATTTTAGACGGTTGATGATTTGTGAAAGAAGAACGAACGCGAAAATTTCCTACTACGAGAAGGGCAAAAGGGGTTGAGTTGAACCGCGTGTGGCCGATCTACCTGTACAACCATACAAAGTAGAAGCAGAACGACTGGAAGGATGTCATCTCATCGTTATCGTTATCGTCTCCTTCACTCAAAACTGGTTCTGGGCGTACTCGGCCACTCAATACAGTCAGACAGTCATTACAAATGGTGGCACATAAAATGTCAATTTAGCCATTTTTTTTTTCTTTCTTTTTTTTGATATTAGCAACTCGGAATTACCTGTTTTATTAGAGCCTTAAATCATTCATTTTAACAGAATGAAAATTCAATTTGGAAGCAAATTCTAAAACTTTTTATGAATATTTTTGATAATAGAATGTGGTATGAAATTGTTTCATGTGATGATTTTTTTTACATATGTTATAGTCATTTCTATGAATGTAAAAAGTAATTTTCTTATTCTCCAATAACTTATATATTACACATTTCTCAAATACTAAATAATCAAATGTTAGATAAAATTTACAATATCTTTTAAATATTAATTCACATTTTAGTTGATAAGTTCAATTAAAACATTTATGGTGATTTAATAATAATTATAAAATCCGTCCACAAATAGCACTATGTTCAAATTTTGATTATTTGAAGGCAAAACTGATGCTCCCATTTAAACTGAAAAGCTAAGACGGAATATTTTTCCTGAACTTGAAGGACCTTATGAATAAGATAAACTCGTTTCAATAATGCTACATTCATCAAAATATCATCAAATATGAAAATTTATATGTTGAATGCTAATTTTGCGCCATTCATATATTCATAGGCGCCATTCATATATTCATCGATAGAATGATTCGATGCACAATTAGTAACAAGCAGTGTTGCCGAAAAGTTGAAAAACATTTCAAATCAACTAATGCTGTAAAATTTAAAGGGCAATCAACTTGCACAGTTGCTGCAGCAGCAAAAAAAGGACGAGACTTCTTGTAGAGATGACATAAAAGAAGGGGACTAATTTCAGACTATTCCATTATGGTAACCAACGATATTGATATCATTAGTTACTATCTTCCGCAGACTTTCCCACTACAATACCTGTGGTAAGTGTTTGTTGCTGCTCATTTGTCCTTATCAACTATTCTTTCATCAATAATCTAACAAAGAGGGAAAGTTTTTGATCAGTAATTACAGATAAATCATTGATATTTAACTGAAAACATAGCAAATGGCGGGATAACAGCAAAAGTTAACGTGATCAGTTATTTTCCCTAATTCTCATTTGGGTCAAATAATATCCGGGACAAGAAAGCATTCCTAAAATTTAACGGCTAAGCACAGGAAAGAAATGCTAATTACGAGTATCACTAAGTTATATACGCTTTTTATTCGCGAAATTGCAAGAAATTGAATTCCATTCACGGAGATGAATGAAATTCAAAAAATAGCATTTTTTTTTTTGGGGGTGGTAAAAGATTGGGTGGAATGTTTGCACAGAGCGATGTTTAATATCTAAGCTTCAGAAATTAATCTGTCAACTACTTCAAACTTGAACCTACAGTAATATTTCATTAATGACACAAATACAGGTGTTAACAACGATACCAATACACATACATTATAGGATGCACTTCGAGCATTTCTCATCAATTTTTAACCTTTATTTCTGAAACTGTTACAATCCATAAATGAATGATATAAGATAGACTTATCACTTAAGAACGAATTAATATTTACTTAGATTATAAGTGTCTTTCAGACAGGCAAGTGCTCAGAAAGACAGAAATTGTAGAGCTTAAAGAAAATTCAAAAAGCAATCAGTACGTATATCGAAAATTGGTATTGCTATGAATCAGAATGAAAAGCATATTTACACACATACACACACACACACACACACACACAC